CAACATTAGACGTCATTAGACAACATGGGACAACATTAGACGTCATTAGACAACATGGGACAACATTAGACGTCATTAGACAACATGGGACAACATTAGACGTCATTAGACAACATGGGACAACATTAGACGTCATTAGACAACATGGGACGACATCAGACAACATGGGACACATGAGACGTCATTAGACGTCATGAGACGTCATGAGACATCATGAGACAACATTAGACGTCATTAGACGTCATGAGACAACATGGGACTCATGAGACAACATGGGACGTCATGAGACAACATGGGACGTCATTAGACATCATGAGACAACATTAGACATCATGAGACAACATTAGACGTCATTAGACGTCATTAGACGTCATGAGACGTCATGAGACGTCTTTAGACGTCATTAGACGTCTTTAGACGTCATTAGACAACATTAGACAACATTAGACATCATGAGACAACATTAGACGTCATTAGACATCATGAGACAACATTAGACGTTATTAGACGTCATTAGACGTCATTAGATGTCATGAGACGTCATTAGATGTCATGAGACGTCATTAGACGTCATTGGACAACATGAGACAACATTAGATGTCATTGGACAACATNAGAACAGGTGTCATCATGTAGAACAGGAGTCATCATGTAGAACAGGAGTCATCATGTAGAACAGGTGTCATCATGTAGAACAGGTTTAAATCAGCTCAGGGATAAATTTATGGTCAGTTTGTTTTTCCAGTCTGATAAAATATTCATCTTTATTTTCCTCAAATATCATCCTGTTGATTTCAAACTTCTACCAGCAGATCAGGGAAATACTCACAGGAGCGCGCGTCCGGCTGCGGTGGGCGTGTCCATGTGAATGAGGGCGTGTCTTCAATCAGGAGCTGCGCGCGCCGCGCCACGAGCAGGTGAACAGAGAGCAGCTTTCAGCAGGTTCGGATCAGCTGAGCAGGTTCTGGACTGGTTCAGTCAGGATGTCGAAGAACAGGAAGTCTCTGAAGATGCTGTTCTCCAGGAGCGACCCGGGTCAGAACCGGGACCAGGTGGGCCGTTCCGTGCAGAACCATGAGGAGGAGGAGGAGAGGAAGAGGTTCAGGTTCCCCAAGGTCCGGCTGAGGTCCAGAACCGGGTCTTCCTCTGACAGGTCAGCTGACGTCAGCCATCAGCTTCACAGGTGGGTCTGATTGCAGCTGCCGCTGGTTCTGGTTCTGGTTCTGGTTCTGCTGCTGGTTCTGGTTCTGGTTCTGCTGCTGGTTCTGGGTCTGGTTCTGGTTCTGGTTCTGGTTGTGTGAAAGGTTGACTTGTGCAGCTGGAGCTGATTGCAGCAGAACTCAGTTTGATTTCTGAAGTAGAAATAGTTCAGCTTCACACACACAGACAGCAGGACAACACAACATGTTCACTTACAAATACACAACATGTTCACAAATACACAACATGTAACACAAACACAAGTTGTAACAAATGAACACATTTCTTCACACTTCTTTCATGTCTCTTTAATTCTGTTACAGTTTTTACATCCAGTTAAATCTGTTTTTAAACTTCATGACATTTTGTTGTCATGTTTGTGTTGAACAGGAAACATGTTTAACTTTGTGAGTCTTTCACAACAAACAACACATCTTTATAAAGTGGTCAGATTTGACTTTATTGGTTTTATTCGTTTAAAATCAGTTTTACTGCAGATCTTSTGTTAGCTTAGAGAACATCAGGCCTGCACAGGTCCAGGTCCACCTGCTGCTGGACCCAKCTGGTACTGGGTCCACCTTAGACCTGTCCAAAGGGTCATCAGAGGTCAGGCAGGGAGAGAGTCCTGAGCAGGTGGGCTTTGTGTCAGGTCAGCAGGGGTCAGCTGGGGTCAACAGGGGGGTCAGCAGGGGTCAGCTGGGAACTCCACAGCTTTAAAATGAGACCTCGTCTCAGTTTGTTAGCAGAGCCCTGTGAGACCTGAGCTTCAGGACTAAAGCTGATGAGTTTCTGCAGACTGTAGTCTGTGCATCATGTGACCTGTCCAGACAACACACTGACTTGTCCAGGTCAGAAACTGTTCAACTAAAACAATGCTACACCGTGTTACAATGTCACACTGTGTTACAATGTCACACCGTGTTACAATGTCACACCGTGTTACAATGTCACACCATGTTACAATGCTACACCGTGTTCCAATGCTACACCATGTTACAATGCTACACCATGTTACAATGCTACACCATGTTACAATGCTACACTGTGTTACAATGTCACACCATGTTACAATGCTACACCATGTTACAATTCTACACCATGTTACAATGCTACACCATGTTACAATGTCACACCGTGTTACAATGCTACACCGTGTTACAATGTCACACTGTGTTACAATGCTACACCATGTTACAATGCTACACCATGTTACAATGCTACACCGTGTTACAATGTCACACTATGTTACAATGCTACACCGTGTTACAATGCTACACCATGAAATGGTTTTTAAAGTCTTAACATGAACAGATCCCATTAATAACATGTAGAATAAACCAGTTTGTAAATCTGTCAAGTTTTCAGCACCTGAAGTGTTTTCTTGTTGGTGTAAATCACTCACCTTAATACAGTTACCATAGGGCTGCTAACTGTGCTAACTGTGGAAAGATGGCTGCCGGTGAATAAAATGACTTAACAAAATGTTAACTCATTTACTCTGGACTCAGACCTGTAATCAGAACTAATTAGTTGGGTTGAATCAGGTTCAGACTCGGGGTCTTCAGGTTCGGACCGGGTCAGGTCAAATATTTTTAGTCCTGATCTAAACTTTACTCTACGATCCCAAACTCTGACTAACTCACAGGCTGAGCTGTGCTAGCTGGTTAACTAGCTGCTTAACCAGCTGGATAACTAGCTGGTTAACTAGCTSGTTAGCCAACATGCTCTCATGTCAGACTCGTAACATATTGACACTGGGGGTACCCCCCGTGCATCCGTCCTTACCACCTGTGTCTTTTCTGGGTCTGAGGTTAATATGAGGGATGGGGGGTAAAAAGGTTTAGGGTGTGAGTTCAGGGACTCGTTCTCCTCCACCTCATCTTGTAAAGAACAGACACTTTGGTTAACTAGCTGGTCATGCAACGCTTGTATCTCTGGTTTTCTTTCTTCTTTGAGTGAGTTTATTCCTCATGATGTCTTCAACCCTAACCTAAACTTAAAGCTAAACCTAAACCTAAACCTAAAGCTAAACCTAAACCTAAACTTAAAGCTAACCAGCTGTTGATGAACAGAGTTCATCTTTTAAAGAAGATCCTCAGAACTGGAGTTCATGTCATTCTTTTAATTCTTTTAATTCTTTAAATTCTTTTCAACTTAAACACAAAAGGAAACAAGAGTACTTAGTTTGTAACAACATTAGACTCCAGAACCTGTACCAGTGGCACCGGTCCACATCAGAACCGGTCCAATAACACCTGAAACACTTTTGCAGATGGTTTGATTCATTTCCTTTAAAARCCAGCAGCCTCAGACAGCTGCTAACATCTGTTATCAGGAGCACAGAGACAAGTTTCCTCCTCAGGTTTTCAGCCACAGGTTCACATCTGAAGCAGATTCAGAGCCTGGATGGGTCTAATCCCTGGAAGGCTTTTATCAATCAAACCTGACGTTTGTTGACAGATGGAAGAGTCAGACTCAGAGCTCAAACCTGCCTCTCTGCATACCTGCTGCATTCAGGAGAAACTCTCATCACCAGAACAAACCTGTCTTTGTTTCTGCAGACRTTTTTAAAACTTCTGTTGTTCCACAACACATCTACATGTCAGATGGCTTTGCTTTAAAGCTGCTGAATAAACTGACCTTTGACCTCTGAAGCACACTTTTATGTTCTGAGAAAACTGGATCTGCTGCAGTCAGGAGGAACAGAACCATTTCATCTGTCAGTGACTGTTGGAGCAAAGAGTCAGCTCTGCACATAAAAACTGACTGAAACAGTTCAAGTTCTACTTAAATCATCTGAGTTCCACAAGAACCATCAACCTTTGGACCTGACAGAACCCGACCTGTAGAACTGCAGACCTGTAGGCCTGTAGAGCTGTAGACCTGTAGACATGTAGAGCTGCAGACCTGTAGAGCTGCAGACCTGTAGGACTGCAGACCTGTAGACCTGTAGGGCTGTAGACCTGTAGAGCTGTAGACCTGTAGGACTGCAGACCTGTAGACCTGTACGGCTGTAGACCTGTAGGGCTGCAGACCTGTAGAGCTGTACGGCTGTAGACCTGTAGGGCTGCAGACCTGTAGAGCTGTACGGCTGTAGACCTGTAG